AGATAGTCTGGCTTGAGAGCCTGTGTATTTGCCACTGGCTTAAATCTTTGCTGAGAAGTTAAAAATATAATTGTAAATGTCGTTTTGTATTTAAAGTTTAAGGATAAAAGTGTATTGTGAATTTTGGTCTATGGGCCAAAGACTTCCTTTTACCGATCATCTAACTGACAATTTCATTAAGAATTAATAATTTTTGCTAAGTTAATATAAGATGTAAGATGGTAATTTCTTACATTAATATTAGTGCCATCATCATTTTTGAATTTCAAAAAGTATTTATTTATTTATAACTTTTATTTTGGTTTAGGGGAGTACCATCACCTATCTGATAAGTGCTTACTATGTCACTCTTCCAAGTGTATTGTATGTATTATCTCTATAGTAATATGATGCTGCCTTTGGACTGTATCTGCTTAAATATTTTTAATGCATGAATCAATAATTTCTGTTGGCTCACAATAAAAACATTTATTTCTGGCCAGACACAGTGGCTCCTGCCTGTAATCTCAGCACTTTAGGAGGCTGAGCAGGGTGGATCACCTGAGGTCAGGAGTTCAAGACCCACCTGGCCAACAAGCTGTCATTAAAAAAAAAAAGGCAACAAAAAGCTGGGGCTATCCCATCTCTGGGAGGGAAAGACATATATTAGAACTGTTTAACAGTGGAATATTCTTACAAACCACCCCCCCCCTTCTTTTTTTAAATGGAGTCTTGCTCTTGTCACCCAGGCTGGAGTGCAATGGTGCCATTTTGGCTTACTGCAGCCTCTGCCTCCTGGGTTCAAGAGATTCTTCTTTCTCAGCCTCCAGAGTAGCTGGGATTTTAGGCATGTGCCACCATGCCTGGCTAATTTTTTTTTTTTTTTAAGATAGAGTCTTACACTGTCACCAAGGCCGGAGTGCAGTGCTCTGATCTCAGCTCACTGTAACCTCTGCCTCCTGGGTTCAAACCATTCCCCCTGTCTCAGCCTCCTAAGTAGCTAGGATTACAGGCACATGCCACCACGGCCAATTAATTTTCATATTTTTAGTAGAGACAGGGTTTCACCATGTTGGCCAGACTGGTCTCAAACTCCTAACCTCGTGATCTACCCACCTCAGCCTCCCAAACTGCTGGGATTATAGGCATGAGCCACTGGACATAGCCTAATTTTTGTATTTTTATTAGAGAAGGGGTTTCATCATGTTGGCCAGGCTGGTCTCTAACTCCTGACCTCAAGTGATCTGCTCACCTTGGCCTCCCAAAGTACTGGGATTACAGATGTGAGCCACCACATCTGGCCACAAACCTCTTTTCAATTGAAGCAACTGAGAAATGTAAAATTGTTTGAAAATTGTCTATATAAAAATGAGCAAAAAAATTATTAAAAATATTTCATCTAGGCTGGGTGCCGTGGTTCACGCCTGAAATCCCAGCACTTTGGGAAGCTGAGGTGGGCAGGTCATCTGAGGTTGGGAGTTCAAGACCAGCCTGACCAACATGGAGAAACCGTGTCTCTACCAAAAATACGAAATTGGCGGGTATGGTGGCACATGCCTGTAATCCCAGCTACTCAGGAGGCTGAGGGAGGAGAATCGCCTGAACCTGCGAGGCAGAGGTTGAAGTGAGCCAAGATCATGCCATTGTACTCCAGTTTGGGCAACAAGAGTGAAACTTCGTCTCAAAAAACAAACAAAAAACAAAAATAAAAAGCAAAACAACAAACTTCATCTCTGATTAATAAGACAAACAAATACAACACGACACATTCACTACAGTATGAACCCCAGAGTCTGTGTCTGCATCACTGAGTAGCTATTTGGGTTCACCACCTGACTCTTAAGTTTGGCATTTGGTGTGTTTTTCATTTCTTTCTTTGTATTAATCAGCCTCATTGTGATTTTAGCTTCTCTTTCTAAAGTTAGTAAACTCAAAATTATAAAAACACTTACCTTGGGAAACCACATACTTACTTGCACATTTTTAAGTTGATCTAAAACTTTTATTATAGGTTTAAGTAGTTGCAGTATGGTCGGATTATAAATATTAAGGTTAAATTAGAAAGCAATATCATTTTAAAAATGTTTTTGGGGGGATATTCAAACTGATGATTTGCCTTTCACTATCATCTTGCTAATAATACATGTAAAAGATGATTTTTAATAGTCTGAAATTTTATGTTGTATCTTTTTTTAATAAACATTTTTGTTTCTATTTCACTCTCCTGCATAACTTTATCTTAATGTAATCTAGCTAATCTTCATTATTCATGGTTGCCATATTTGCAAATTCACCAACATAGTAAAATTCGTTTGCTGCCCTAAAATCAGTACTGGAAGCACTTTGCTTTCAAGGTCATTGACAGAAATGGCAGAATGGTGAAGATTTGAGTTGCTCCATAAGCATACTCCCAGTTGAGGTTGACTGTTCTGCCTTCTTGTTTCAGCTTTCGTACTGGAAACAAATGCCCTTTTTGAGGTCTGTGTAGTGTCATGTTTTTCACATTTTGGTGTTTTTTATTGGTGATTATACTGTTCGAAATGGCCCCAAGCATAATGCTGAAGTGCTGGCTGGCATTTCTGAGTTTAAGTAGGTGGTGATGTCCCTTATGGAGAAATACACGGTATAGAAACTTAGTTAAAGGCATGAGTTATAGTGATATTGGCTGTGAGTGCAATGTGCATGAATCAATAATATACATTAAATAAGCTGTCTTTAAATAGACACACATATAAAAACAAGATTGTGTATTGACTGGTGGATGAAAATGTAACCAGAGGCTCAAAGGAACCTGACCCTGTATTCTTCCCCTAGGAACAATGCTTGTTTATGGTGACTTGATAGACCATAACTGTAGACTATAGAAATTAATAAGAATCAACTATTTTTTGTTTTAAATAGCTTTATGCATCATCCTGAAATGTATCTTTGCAACAAAAACATGTGTAAGAATTAAGGTTTAAGATATATTTTTAAATACCATTGTACTATAAGTCTTAGTATTAACAATTTCTAGTGAATTGTGATATGTTATGCTATTTGTAGTATACAAATTGTAAGGGTTATTGCAGAGTTTAAAATGAGGAAACTGAGACCAGCATAAGAAGATTAAATGCCAATTTATTTAACTCCTGGGCGAGGTTCCATGGTCCCTGGGGAAGGGGCCAGGGAAGTGGCACCAACTTCCTGGGGCGTGGGGTTTTTATGGCTAGGAGGAACGAGCAACAGCTGGGTGCTCTGATTGACTCCAGGGGAGCGGGGTTGGCTATTGGTTGGTGGGTTGTTGGGTGGGTTTTCCAGTGGGAGAGCTGGCCAGGAGCCTTGCATCAGCTGGAACCTTCCAGGGGAGCCATGCGGCAGAGCTAGGTGCCGAGTGCAGAGCCTGGTGCCGGGTGTCGGGTGCCGGGTGCAGAGGTGGGTGTGTCCAACCTCCCAGCGAGGCAGCCGGCCTTACACAAATGACTTAAAAAATGTAAATATACATTTTGGTGAATGTTTTTTTTGGTATTTTTGACAAATAATTACTAAGCACAAAAATATTAGAAATAAATTCCTTAATTAGATGAATTGTGCTTATTTTTATGTATGGTAGCCTGTCTGTGGATGAATATTACTGATTGCTGGAATGAAATAAATTTAGCATCATTTTGTTCTTTCTTTTCATTGTTATGGGTGTAAGCCCATGTTCTAACTAATAAGTTTATGGGAATAGGAGAAATTTTATTATAGCAACTTCATTCTTTTAATGTCTCCAAAATTGTAACAAAAATTTGTTGCTAATTTTTTGTTATAATTACTTCAGTGATTTATCAATTGACCTAGTTGAGTCCAAGATATTTTGTTGAAGACCTAGAGTTTGAAGCTATCTACTTGAAAAACAATCGTATAGAGACATTTGCTTATTCAATTTCTAGGAAATATATCAAATATATTTTATAAAGTTTTTTTAACTCATTATTAATTTTTCTTGCCATTCTATAATTTAGAGGCATTTTGTTCAATCTGATAGATTTTGAAACATTGGGAAAAATTGAAATATTGTTCATTTTAATACACTTGTGCCAATACAATATTTATAATAAAATTATTTTATTTAACTTTTTAAAAATCAGAGCCTTGGAGCTGCATACTCTGTGTGTGGAAAATGACTGCCTTTTGACATGATTGGTAAAACCAATATTCCTTATCAAGTCAGACAGCCAACAAGAATTAATTTTTCAGGAAAAAAAATGGGCTTGCATAGCCGTCTTATATCTGTCAAGTACCACATAACAACATTTCAGTCAATGATGGACCACATATTTGATGGTGGTCCATTAAGATTATAGTACCATATTTTCACTGTACCTTCGCTATGCTTAGAGACACAAACACTGCTGTATTATGGTTGCTGACAGTATTCAGTGCAGTAGCATGCTGTAGTGCAGTGCACTGACAGCCTCAGGGCAATAGGCTATAGTATGTAGCCTAGGTGTGTAACAGGCTTTGTACACATTCTAGGTTTGCATAGATACACTCCATGATGTCTGCACAATGATGAAATTAACTAAGGATGCATTTTTCAGGATATATCTTCGTCATGTACTGAAGCATGATTAAACTTCAGATGGTACGTGGATGGAAGGGTAGATGGCTGGATGAATGGGCAGATGGACGGATGGATGGTTAGGTAGAAATGGAACTTTGCCAGCAGTTTGGCTCCTCGGTAATGTAAGGTACTGTCATCTTCAGTATTATAGACATCAATCTTAGCTCTGATTTTCTGAGACCTTCCCTGAGGAGGAATTACTTCTTTGGCAGTACCAAGGGGTGGAAGAACTAGGAGAGTTAAATGGACATCACCATGTGTCTTGGCCCTCTGTACTATGTATGTGTATTCATAACAACCTATCCCAACCCATGTGCTGATGACACATTCTGAAATGGCTAAAAAATATGTCGTTCCTAATGCCAACCTTTCCCTTACTCTGAAAGAAATAAAGTTCTACTGTGAGTTAACAGGGCTTTTGTGAAAAGAGGCTCCCAGTAACCAGTAATTGACCGTGTTCTCCTGGACACCTTGTGACAGTGCACCAGAGCCACCTGGGGGAGAGTGATTGTATCCTTTTCTTTTGTGAAGTGGGAGAATGTTGATTTTGAAGGGAAGCTGGGACAAAATGATCTATCATGAAACGTCAGCCATAAGTGTGTTTTCAGACATATCAGTTTTAAGGAATGGTGTACGAGGAATAGGAGAACTTTCTCTTGGCAAGTCCTGTGTACACTCAGGGTAACACACAGTCCAGCGTGAAAGCCACTGATACAGAGGAGGGACTTCAGGACCCGAGATTCTTCCTGCTCCTTTCCTTGTAAATTTTGGGCAAGCCACTTTTATTATTTGTGCATCTGTTTCTTTATTTTAAAAACAGGAATAGTAAACGGTTTCCCAATTATCTTTCAGTGCTATTGTGAAGATTAACTGAGATAATGTGTATAAAAGTGCTTTGAAAATTGAGAGCTCTATTTAAACAGAAGATATCATTATCAGTATACTAAAGTCACTTTAGATCAATTACAGTTTACCGTACAGTGTACTGAAATAGAACTCCATCAGGAACATCTTTCTTATTTAAAGAAAATAAATGGTACATTTTTAAACCAAACATTAATATGACACTATATATGTGATAATCACAATAATTTTTACATCATATTTTGGACCTTAAGTAAGAGCCAATAATTGTTGAAACTTAAAATGTGGTAGGCAGTCTTCTAAATACCTTTCCTATATTGATTCATTCAATGCTCACAACTACTTTAGGAGGTAGATACTGTTGTTCTTATTTTTGATAAGGTATAAGGATGCTGAGAAGGTATACCTTAAGACACAATGCAAACCCCCTCTAGTTATCATCCAGTCTTTCTTCTCCCTTCCTTTTCATTTCCTTCCCCAAATAGTTTTGCCCTTATTATTGTGTCCACTTTCTCGCTTTTTTTTTTTTTTGGAGACAGAGTCTTGCTCTTGTTGCCCAGGCTAGAGTGCAATTGCACAGTCTCGGCTCACTGCAACCTCTGCCTCCTGGGTTCATGCTATTTTCCTGCCTCAGCCTCCCGAGTAGCTGGGACTACATGCATGCACCACCATGCCCAGCTAATTTTTCTGTTTTTAGTAGATACGGGATTTCACCATGTTAACCAGGCTTGTCTCAAACTCCTGCCCTTGGGTGATTTGCCCACCCCAGCTTCCCACAGTGCTAGGATTACAGGGGTGAGCCACTGCGTCTGGCTGGATCCCATTATTCCCTATTTTGTTGGTAACAAACTGAGGGATAGAGACTGTAAGTGACATGCTTACACAGTTGGTTAGGATGAGACAGAGCTAGGCTGTGAACCACACAGAGGTTTCTGAAGTCCATGGTCTTCGCCACAGTACACACATCTTATCATATAGATTTTCAGTTGTATTTTTCCTCCCTCTCATTCTCCATCTCCCTTAGTGTGATTTCTACTAAATGATTTTAAAAGTGGAAGAATTAATCAAAGAGAATGAAAAAAGAGTGTGTTGGAGAGAGAGCGAGGGGAAAAAGAGAAAGGAGGAAATTCTACTGGAGTTACACCCTTGTCAAAGAACCAAAGCTGTTGCCTTGAGGCTATGGGTGATGTCTTTAGCAGTTGCTATTTTCTTTTTTTTATTATTATGCTTTAAGTTCTGGGGTACCTGTGCAGATCACGCAGGATTGTTACATAGGTACACACGTGCCACAGTGGTTTGCTGCATCCATCACCTTGTCATCTACATTAGGGATTTCTTCTAATGATCTCCCTCCCCAATCCCCCACCCCCTGCTATCCCTCCCCTAGTCCCCCCACCCTCCAACAGGCTCTGGTGTGTGATGTTCTCCTCCCCGTGTCCATGTGTTCTCATTGTTCAACTCCCACTTATGAGTGAGAACATGCGGTGTTTGGTTTTCTGTTCTTGTGTCAACTTGCTGAGAATCATGGTTTGCAGCTTCATCCATGTCCCTGCAAAGGACATGAACTCATCATTTTTTATGGCTGCATAGTATTCCATGGTGTGTATGTGCCACATTTTCTTTATCCAGTCGATCATTGATGGGCATTTGGGTTGGTTCCAAGTCTTTGCTATTGTGAACAGTGCCGCAAAACTGGGGCCTCTTACTCCATGAGGAGGGTAGGAAGCCCTCATTCTGTTGTCTGTCTCCAGCCGAGAAACCTGGATGTGGCTGGAGACCTTCACACTGCCAGTCTGGCCCAATGTAGTACCAGGCACCTCTCCCAACTCAAGGAGGGAAGGAGTGGGAAGGCCTGTGCTGTGATTCTTGAGCCATGTGATCCACCTTTTCAAGTGGTAGCAGCATGGTCTTAAGTTTCTCTCTTTTTGTTTTTCAAAATGGTTTTGCCTTTGAATCTATTTTATGTGATATTAATAATATTGTAATCCCTGCCTTCTTATGATTACATTTTGCTTGGCGTATTTCTTTTTATTCATTCATTTGGAAACCATTCCTGTCTTTACATCTAAAATGCAGCCCTGTAGGGAGTGTATAGTTGGATCTACTTCCTTATATCCATGGTTGATCTTGGAAAAAAAAAAAAATCCGTTCTTTGAGTAGCAAGTCAGATCTCCATACAGATTTTTTTTTTAAATAAGCATTTATTTTAGAACAGTTTTACAGAAAAAGATGCAAAAATAGTCCAGGGAGTTCCCATGTACCCCACACCCAGTTCCCTATTTTAAACATCTTACATTGTTATGCTACTTTTGTTATCATTAATAAACTAATGCTGATACATCCTTATTAACTAAAATTCAAATTGTATTTGGATTTTCTTAGTTTTACCGAATGTGTCTTTTCTCTTCCGGGATTCCATCCAGGTTACCTCATTGCATTTACTCAAATCCGTAGGCTCCTAGACTCTAACAGTTTCTAGAGAGTTTTCTTGTTTTGAATGACCTTGAAAGTTTTGAGGAGTGCTGGCCAAGTGTTTTTAGAATGTCCCTCCATTGCATTTTGTGCGATGCTTTTCTGAAGATTAGGCTGGGATTATCTGTTTTTGAGAGAACGCCCACAGAGATAAATTGTCCATCTCATCACATCGTGTCAAGGGTAAACCTGATCAAGATGACTTACCACTGTTGATGTTGACCTTGATCCCCTGGCTGAGGTGTGCCTGTCAGGTTTCTCCTCTGTGAGGCTGTTTTGTTCCCCTTCCATGCTGTATTCTTCTGGAGGAAGTCACTGCAGTTTCTGCAGTTTACTTTCAAGGGGCATATACATTCACAGGGGCCTTACATTCACAGGGGCATTTACATTCACAGGGGTGTTAAATTCACAGGGGCATTTACAGTCACAGGGGCATTTACATTCTCAGGGGCATGTGCAGTCTCAGGGGTGTTACATTCACTGGGGCGTTAAGTTCTCATGGGCATGACATTCTCAGGGACACCACATTCATAGGGCGTTCACAGTCACAGGGTGTTATACTCCACCTTCTTGAGCACATCCTTCCTTTAAAGCTGAGCAGCTTTGGGTCTGATATGCGCCTTCATCATTCAGGGGTCAGCCAGAGCTGTGGGTAGATGGAAATCTGGGTTTCCCTTTCTGACTCATTTCCTTCTTCATCTTCTCAGAGGCGCTTGTCCCAGTCTTGGTATTTTGCATCTTCAGCCAGAAACACTGTGGCTTTGCCACCAAAGTGCCTGCTGCCCCACATGCCATGTGCATGGACGGCACCTGGCTTCAAGCCTAAAGCTGTGATGATGGGCTTCCTCCCTACTAGAAATCTTCTTCTTCTTTTTTTTTTTTTTTTGGCTCACTCTTCTATGCCTTTTCAGGAATCTGCTTTTTTTTTTTAGTAAAAAAAAAAATTCTGATTTTAATCCCAAATTTATAGTAGTTTTTTTCCAGGAGGGTTGATCTAGTAGCATATTAATAATTCACTACAAAAAGCAAAAATCCTGGCCTCTGTGTAAATGGGGAGACGAAATGAAGCTTCCTATCACAAAGAACTTAAAAGACAGGAATCAAGAATCATGAAAGAAACTATTAAAGGATGGTATCTGACAGCATATACTTAAGTGCTAAATGAGTATGCAGGTAATAGTTATAAAAATAAAAATTAAAAAATAATAATTAAATAAAAATAAAACATTAAAAAATAATTTAAAAACTAGCTATAAAAATGCTTGTAGCTAATAATAATAACATAGATGCTTATAACAACCCAATGAAGATGAAATTGCACAGGCAAGGTCACTTAACATTGAGCTATGAGTCCAAAGATGCAATTCAATTCTAGAGATTTGTTTTCTATCACTAATTACTGAGTAGGGAAATAGATTACTGTTGGCAAGATTAGGTTAGAAATGAAAGACTATAGTTAACAAAATTTATGGATGGATCAAGGAGGGTAGGAATAAGGCATAGCACTAAGGCAGGTGTAGGAAGAGAGTGTTCATTTTATGTGCCTACTGGATATCCATGTAGGTATCAAATGCTAGTAGACACATTTAACTGAAGTTCTAGGGAGGGCCAGGTGCAGCAGCTCATGCCTATAATCCCAGCACTTTGGGAGGCCGAGGTGGGTTGATCACCTGAAGTCAGGAGTTGGAGACCAGCCTGGGCAACATGGGGAAACCTTGTCTCTACTCAAAATGCAAAAAATTAGCTGGGTGTGGTGGTGGGCGCTCTAATCCCAACGACTTGGGGGGCCAAGGCAGGAGAATTACTTGAACACAGAGGTGGAGGTTGCAGTGAGCTGAGATTGTGCCACTGGACTCCAGTCTGGGAGACAGAACAAGACTCCATCTCTAAATAAATAAATAAATAAATAGATAGAAAGATAGATAGATGATAGATAGTTAGATAGTTTCAGGGAGTTGGCAAGTCTGGAAATAAGGATTTGGGATTGATGGCATATCCATTGCAGAGATTGTGCCACTGCACTCCAGTCTGGGAGACAGAGCAAGACTCCATCTATAAATAAATAAATAAATAAAGTTTCAGGGAGATGGCAAGTCTGGAAATAAGGATTTGGGATTGATGGCATATCCATAACATTACAGCCACGGGATTAGAGGAGTTCACCTGTGAGCATACACAGATACAGACTCCTGGGATACTCCAAAATCTGCGGGTCCAGTAAAGGGAGAGAATCCAGAAGAGGAAGCTACAAAAGTATGTCCTCTTTTTTAGGGGAAACTGGAAGGGTGCAGTGGTAGGTGCCAAGAGAAGAAAGGATGAGAACAGAAGCCAACTCTATTGAACGTCCTGGAAAGTCATACCTGAGAAGAACTAAAATGCGATGACAGGGTTGGAAGTGTAGAGCTCATTGCTTTACCAAGAGCTCACAGAAGAGTATAAAATAAAGAAATGGAGACCAGCACTATAAGAAATTCTCAATGAAAATTTCCATGCATAAAAACAGGATAGTAACTGTGGGAGGCTGTGAGGACAGGTTGGTTCGTTTGTTGAAGTTACGGAATACCAGACTTAGGGATAGTTGTCAAAGGTGAAGAAGAAACGTCCTTGCCAAGGGACATTTGGAAATATGTGGAGTTACTTTTGAGTTGCAGTTACCAGGGCGTGCTCCCGACACTTACTGGGCTGCAGGTGGAGCAGAACATCCCATGGAGCTCAGGGCATTCTCTCATGAGGAGGAATTGCCTGCCTCCTGTGCATCGAGTCCATTTATATGCTGATATTAATGGTCTGTCTTGGACCATGATTTTCTTTGGCTCTCTCAGCAAAAATGTCTAAGTCATCACTTGATGTTTTTGCCATCTAAAAGGACTTCACCAAACCTTCAAGAGTTCTGGATATGTCTTTGATTAGTCCACCTTACATCACTTGTATTTTGCAGAATCAATCACTGGAACCAGGGGAATGCCAGGCACAGATTGGTTGACACCATCCCTGAACCAATCAATCATCTGACCAATGACGAGGAGGATGGGGCTGTGCTGATTAATCACACGGCTGTTCTCTGTGCAGGAGGAATGGAATGGCTGCTTGGGGAGCAGCCAGAATCATTTAAGAATCATTAATTATTGATGTTATCTACTATATTTATGACTCAAAAGTTTATACCCTTGTTAGACTTGGTAAATAAAATGGTCTTGAAAGAAATGTAAGGACCCATCCACCAATAACCCCTTCTCCTCTTCCGTCCTAGTCACTGCCATAGTCTCTGGGACTTCTGAGTCCTGGTTAGGGATATCACAAAAAATGAATGTGGATATGTCTCATTATGTTTTTTTCTGATCAGTGCATTATGGTTTTGATTGATAATACACATGATTGATAGTGTTCACTGATACGGTGTTTATTTCTGATGCTATAATAGGTATCATCAAAACAATTATGAAAACAATGAATTTCCAAGCTTGTATTTTATAATTAAATCTCAGAAAGTGGAGACAAGCCATATTCTCTATCATGTCTCCTGGTCTCTGGAAGTATCTTGTGAAGACAAGCCATATTCTGTATCCTATCTCTGGGTCTCTTGGTTTCTATCCACCAAGAGAAGAGGAATCCAGAAAAATTAGCTACTTTATTTAATATTTACCCACATCCTGTCTTACTTACCCATCTCCCTTACTTACCATGCAAGCAAAGAATGCTGCTTTCATGAGCTCCACCCCCTCTAGGTGCCTCTAGTAGGGAACTATTTTTGGAGCACATACTTGCTCTGCACTAAGAAGACAGGCCTGTACTCATCCCTTGAGATTTCCTAATACATCCATAATCTCCATAAATCTTGTGTAACAGATACTGGTGTTGCATGCTTTATCCCCATATATCAGATCAGGAAGCTAAGAGTCAAAGTGGCCAGGTAACTTGTCCTAAGCCATAAAATTAGTAAGCATTACAGCCAGTATTTAAATTTTTCTTTACCTAGCTCCAAAGACCTTCTGCTTCCTGTGATGTTTAAGGAGCTAGTAGATGGGGAGGATTGGGCACTTCCCTCCACTCCTGTTTCAGAAATCATGGCTGGAGTTCAAGGGCCAGTACAGATGGGGTGTGACATGTTTCCCACATATGTCAGATGGTTGAGACCCACTGCAAATCATAATACTGCTATTCAGCACTAGACATTTTTCACATAATGGCACTTGATTATTGACTCAGTGAGTTTCTTCGGATGTTTTTTCTTATTCATGCATATGTTTTAGTTCGTTTATCTTTCCATTATAAATTTACATTGTATATCAGATTTCCTATTTTATCTAAATTGAACTTAAGCTTTAAAACTGTAACTTTTCTATTATAGAGAAAATTTCTATATACTTAGGATTTTAGTAGTTATACTGAGGTATCTTCAATATTTTTTACAGTTTCCCTTTATAAAAAAAATTTTTTTTTAATTGTACTTTAGGCTCTGGGGTACATGTGCAGATCATGCAGGATTGTTGCATATGGCAATGTAGTTTGCTGGCTCCATCCCCCTGTCACCTACATCTGTCATTTCTCCTCATGTTATCCCTCCCTGACCTCCCCACCCCTCTGCTGTCCCTCCCTTGGCCCCTTCACAACAGACCCCAGTGTGTGATGCTCCCCTCTGTGTCCATGTGTTCACATTGTTCAATACCCACCTATGAGTGAGAATATGTGGTGTTTGATTTTCTGTTCTTGTGTCAGTTTGCTGATAATGATGGTTTCCAGATTCATCCATGTCCCTACAAAGGACACAAACTCCTCGTTTTTGATGGCTGCATAATATTCCATGGTGTATATGTGCCACATTTTCCTTGTCCAGTCTATTGTTGATGGGCATTTGGGTTGGTTCCAGGTCTTTGCTGTTGTAAACAGTGCCATTATAAACATATGTGTGCATGTGTTTTTATAATTGAATGATTTATAATCCTTTGGGTATATACTCAGAAATGGGATTGCTGGGTCAAATGGAATTTCTATTTCTAGGTCCTTGAGGAATCGCCACACTGTCTTCCACAATGGTTGAACTAATTTGCACTCCCACCAACAGTGTAAAAGTGTTCCTATTTCTCCACATCCTCTCCAGCATCTCTTGTCTCCAGATTTTTTAATGATTGCCATTCTAACTGGCATGAGGTGGTATCTCAATGTGGTTTTGATTTGCATTTCCTTTTGTTGCAGTGGGAGTTCCTTGATTTGAAACCCTGGAGCAAAATCATAACCTTAGAATCTCCTGGAATTTTTATCTGGTTTTATAGCAGCTTTGGCACAAATTCCAGCTGCTTCTTCCCACTTTCCTTCCTATGGTGTTTTACTTTAAATCTATTCTCACTAGTAGAAATTGAAATTTAGAACTGGGACCTTATCTTTTGTCCCTATAGCCCCTAACTTGTCGTGTGTCTTATCTGATGAATTGGTTGTCTTAGGGTCTTTGATCTGAGGATGCTGTGAGGATACCTCAGGGCTTCCAATACATTTTTATTTCTTTTCCTCTATTTTCAAGGGTGTCAAATGAAATTGACTTAAAAGTGTATCAAAAGGACCTTTTCCTCTGTAATTAGTATTTTTCTGAATTTTCCTTATTTGGAGCACTTTGTCACTGGCAGTCCTTCCTTTTTCTAAACATTTTCCATACTGGTCAGAGATGGCATCTTGTGGTGCCATCTGGGCCACCTGCCCTTACTTGAGAGTCATTTCTGTTTTGGTGCCCATGTTGTTCATGGTTATAGTTCATGGTTCTTTGCTTTTAGCTCCTCACTGGAGCTTTTATTTATTTGTACTGCTCACCCATGTAGGGAATATTTGATTTATGTCACAAAGCCTTTTTATTGTTATCTTTTTAATCACGAGGGATAGAAATACGGATTTTTTTTTTTTGAGGCAAATTCTCTGTCACCCAGGTTGACCGAGTAGCCCAATCATAACTCACTGAAACCTCTAATTCCAGGGCTTAAACAATCGTCCCACCTCAGCCCCCCAAGTAGCTAGGACTGCAGGTGCATGCCACCACACCCTGATGATTGTTTTAAAAAAATTTTGTAGAGATGGGGTCTCGCTTTGTTGCCTAGGCTGTTCTTGAACTTCTGGGCTCAAGTAATCCTTACCCCTTGGCCTCCCAAAGTGTTAGGATTACACGTATGAGCCACTGTGCCTGGCCTGGATTTTTCTTCTGAGATGGTTTCAGGAAGCCTATTTTAGTGAAATGGAATGAGCTTTAGAGTTAGATTGAAATAATTTGAAACCTGGTTCTATTACAAAGTAATTGATATCCTTAGAAACGTGGGTACCATTCCCTGCGCATTCTTTTTCTATTCTGTAAAATGAGGATCTAATAGTGACCTGACCAGATCACTGATAGGCTTAGAAAAAAGCATGTGTAGAGCACAGCATCTGGCACATAGCAAGTGCCTGATTATTATTGGCATTGTAATGATTACTTTATTAGAATTATGATGAGGTGGGTCATCTCACATTGGATTTGGGCAATCGTTAGCTATAGCACTACATTTAAAAGAAACGCAGCAGTAAATAAACAATAGTACTTACCCTTGAGGAGTTTATCATCTTTTAAAGAAGGCAAAATGTGTATCAAGAACCACTAAAACTTATGCAAATGTCCATTGTTTTTAAAGGTTACAATATGATAGTTTTAAATACTATAAATATGATTTAATGAGTCAAATAGTGGTCTGTGGTTTATGTTTTCAAGATAAGGGAACTGAGACCTAAAGAGGGAAGGTTAATGGATTTACCTGTAGCCTCCTAAGCCAATTAAAGGAGCCTGCGGGGATTTTTGCATGGGTCTTCCTATAGGTGCAGGATGCACTTTTGACCCCTGTGCTATCCTGCTTCCACGAGGAATGTGGTGAATATTATAAGACGTACGTAGTAAATGCCACTGGTGCCCCGAATAGGCAAGATCAGGTTTTTTGCAGGAGCTGATAGCCAGAGGCTTCTTGGAGGAGGTCACATCTGACGTAGGCGTGCGGGGGGTAGGCAGGATTTCAACAGGAAGAGGAGAAGGAGGGAGGTCATGAATAAAGCAAAAAGTTGGGTGCAACAGCTTTCTGTGATTTTTTTTTTTCTGGGAGCATTTAGTTAACAGAGTACACACAGAGACTAATGAATAAAATGCTGGAATATAGGTTTGTGCTAGATGAAAGGGATCTTGGATTCTTTCCTCACCAGCTGACAGCATGAGACTTAAAGGGTTTGCGTGGTGTGACATAACTCTGTATTAATGAGGCTAATTTTGCAGGATTATGTAGGACTTTGTGGAGGCAAATGGAGTGGATCTAGACTACAGTTGAGGGCCATTATGAGACTCTAGAAAAGATGTGACGAGAGTGTGACTTAGAGCAGTGAGAGAAAGAATAGAAAGGAAAGGGCAGATGAGAGACTCGAGGTGGACAGCAGTTGCGGTGAGAAGACAGCATGCAGAAAGACTGGAGGCTGCAGCCTGGCTCTCACAGGGAACGGTGGTTTCAGTAAGACATGGTGTCACTAGTGTCCCCGCCCTCTCTCTTCCAAAAAAAGGGGGATATAATTGTCTTCATCAACCCACTGGAGCATTTTGGCCAGGACCCTCCAAGACTAGGGCTCTGAGCCATAGCCCCTAGTGGGTCCTCACTCTGGTCTGTAGAGCAGCTTGAAATGTTTCCATTGCTGATCCTTGAGTGCTAACACATTGCCTCCTGTTTTTATTAAGAGGGTCACTGTGGAGGGAGTGTGACTTTGTAGGAGCTGTCAGAGCTGAGTTTTTTCAGTAAACTCATGGGACTCTTTAAAATCCAATCAAGCAAGTGTTCTGCTCAAGTGTCTCTGTTTCCAAGAATGGATGTCAAAGGGAGAATGCAATTTTGGTTTGCAGGTCACTGACTAATATATTAAAGGGAAATCTCATGGGTAACTCTGGTTTTTCCAAATATTGCTCTGTAGCATTAAGTTTTTTGTTGTAAGTGAGAGAAAATATATGCCATTCACTGAAGGGCTGCAAGGGGTGAGTCAGTTGGGACATGTTGCTGTGGCCATTTAAGCTCTTTGAGTGATGCTCACTTTCTTTTCTCCCTTCCAATTTCCTTGGTCAGTGTTTGTCAGGTTCAACTCCAGCCATGGTTTCCCAGTGGAGGCCGATTCTGACACCAGCATCTTCCAGCTCAAGGAGGTGGTTGCTAAGCGACAGGGGGCTCCAGCTGACCAGTTGCGTGTGATTTTCGCAGGGAAGGAGCTGAGGAATGACTGGACTGTGCAGGTGAGTCCCCCTTGGTGGCCGTTCCCGGGATGCTGCCAGCCCCATTGCTCACGCCGCCTGCGCTGCCAATCTGACATTCATGCTTGAGATCTAATAGAATAAACAGTGCCTGGGGATTCCTTGAACTTTATTCCACACTGCTTCATTAATTCTGACCTCCTTAATTATGCATTAAATGAGCAAGCAGGAAAGATTAGAAGAACAACTGTGTGTGTGTGTGAGAGAGAGAGAGAGAGAGAGAGAGAGAGAACACCTGAGCTAGGCTTAGTGAATAAATGTCTACTGACTACAGGAGCAGCAAGGCACAATTTCTGTGTCTGTTCAATTTCTGCCTTACTTATTCCATTTGAATCTTAATGAAGAAGGGTTCGAATAAATGGTTCCCAGTCAGGCTGCTCAGTCCCTGCGCCGTGAGGAATTCGTAACCCAATTGTGACCCCTGGAGGATACTGAGGGCTGCTCCTCCGCTCACTAGAGGAGGTGTGGGCTCAGGGCCACACAGGCAACTAGCTTTGAGCACTCCTTGGCCAGGACCAGAATCTCACCGTGGGGAAGGCAGCCTGGAGCACAACAAAAGTACACCTTTGCAATGAATTTCTCCAAGGTTTAGTAAAACTGACCCTGGAAATAGGCCCCTGCAAAGTAATAGGCTGAATGATGCTCTCTCCTCTCTCGCCCCAGCAGAGCTTCCGGCAGCCCAATGCTCCTGGCCCCATAAAAGCCCTACACACTTTTCATTCAGATTGGTGACTTTTGTAGGAATTAGGGGGAACTAGAACTGAAGGCCAGTCATTTGTTGGGGAAACTCGCAAATACAACTCACCATGTGTTGATGTTATTCTTTGTGAATGTGAGAAAGACTAAACACTTTTTGTGAGTGATTCCTATGACTGTTAAGGACCCAGCAGACATATGTTCCCCTTATCTTAACCAGCATCAATTAATTGCACTCAGGCTTACAGCTATGTGGGGACCTCTGCCGTGCATGGCGGGCTGGGGCACACAAAGCCCGTCCTTGGGTCTGCGTCCTATCCCTGTGTCTTCTGGGCAATGATATTTATGACATTTGTTAAATGCTCTCAGGATTGGGGTATACAAAGAAGCCATAGAAATGCAAATTGTTCCTGTCATTCTCCATTGCATCTCCTGCTGATGGTGTTGAGGCCCGCAGTCATTGTGCACAAACTGCTGGGCTTTGCTTTCAGGCAATTTGGATTTATAAGGGAAGTGCACGTGCTAAAAAGTGTTTTGTTTTTATTTTCTATTTCAGACCACTAAAAAGCTTTTCACTGTATCTGCCAACCTTTAAATCCAAGGATGTTTCCTTCACAAATAAGTAATTTTAAAACAGCTCCTTGAATCAAAACATTTTACGTTGCTAGAACTTTCAGGTTCTAACACCCTCATTAGTGCTGATTTGTAAAACAATTAGCGATTTCCTATGTAGTTAGACTAATTGCCTCAGAGGATTGACTTTATAAACATATGTGCATAAGATATGTGTTGATTTAAGAGTCTTTATTTTGACAAGCACTTCTTAAGCACTTCCAACGTTCTAGGCTTCTCCGGGGATCCAAAAGAGAGACAAAGCAGCCCCTGTTTTCATGGAGACTGGTCTTTATTTATGAGCCCCAAAACCAAAAGAAATATTAGATTGAACCATATGGAATTGCCATTTTTATAGGTTCAACAATTGCATGTGGTTCAACCTAATAGCCATATATAAGAATGTGAAACAAAACTTCCATATTTCACCTGAAAATATCATGAAGTTTTAAAGGTGGAGAAAATACATCTGGTTGGAAGTTACCAGGTAGAACTTCATGGATGAATAGAATTGAGGTAGGATTCCACAGATGGAGGAATGGAAGAATGAGCACAGGGAATGCTTGATGAAAAGGATGAATTCTTGTTGTTCTAGAACCTAAAGGGGGTGTTGCAGACTGGGCTAAAACAAAATATGGGCTATATTCCACAAGACCTTGACTAACTTGGCATTGAAGTTTCACTGGTGGGGAACTGGAGAACAGTGGGATGCCACAGAAGGAAATGGGAAGTCTTAAGACCTAGTTTGGTTGAAGGATGCTGTGTTATTTCATCACGATGGGAGTTGAAGCCTGCTGAATATGTGTGTGTGGAGATGTCTAGCTGGCTGTTGAGAACTTAGGTCTGAGGACACTGAAAAAGAAAAGTTGATATTTATGAAACTTCTGGCAAATCACAGTTAAATGATTTAGGTGCCGAGAAGTTGGCAAACTGTGTTCCCACAAGAGTTTCACTGTAAAGACTAGGAAGTTACACATGTAATTGCAAATTGATGGCTATGTTTTATTTAAGTGTACAATTGGCAGAATTTTAGCATCCTTTGATATTCTTGTATAATCTTTTATACGTTTACAACTATTTAGTCAATACCGTTTAGTTACCCATTATCATTACAGGTGCTATATTTCACAGTATAAGCACAAAATATACAATAATAAGTTGCTGCTGAGAAAAAGAAGATGGACCTTGCATATGAGCAATTTAATGCTTTCACTAATGAATGCGAAATATACACCTTGGTGTCCTGAAGAGAAAATGAGATGGCAGGAGTCGTGTCTATGCTTGCTGGGGGTTTCCCCCTGTTTCTCATTTTCTTTTATTCATTATCATAGGTGATAATGTGATATAGCTGGCCTTAGAGCCTGAATGACACCTTTTTATAAAAGAAAAAGCTGTGTTTTAAAATAAGTTGTAATGGCTGCCCCATTCTCCTCACAATTGACTGCTGGCCTTGGCTTCTGTAAATAAAACTGCTAGCTTGCTCTGCAAAAAGCCCATTATGTAAAGCTGCTTACCTTTTCTTATCAGTAACCATGGGAATTGCTGGCCTTTGCTTACCAGTAATGACCGGAATAAGCAGCCCAAGCTAATTCCATCTTGGCTCCTGTGACTTGTAATGAGTAACTAAGATCTGTGGTTTCCACCACTACCCAGATGATGTGTAAACTAAGGCTTATCTTGACTTCTGTAAACCATTTAGGTAAAAATCAAAGTGACAACAAGTCCCCCAGCCCTTGGAATGTCCAGAGATCCTCACCCCGCTCTCTGCCCAGGAGGTGATTTATGGAATCCCCTGGTCCTCAGAATGTCTGAATCCCTTCACCCCCACCCCCGCCCCACACTCTCACCCTGGAGTTGGGCATAAAAAGGTCTTGTCCCCCTCCTTTCTCTGCCATGGGTTGGAGAGATGTGAGTCCTCCATGGCCGCCGGCAATAAAAGACCCTACAATTTGGCATACTTTTGTCTTGGTGCTAATTTTGTGCTTGATCAAATACTTCAACATGAACATATGTATTAGCTTATCATGCAAAATGAGATATTGTGAGTATGAAAGAAGATCCCATCAATAATTATTCCAGGATCATAGTTATATGTTGGGAGTGTCCTAGGAAAACTGAGGCAGTGGTCACCCCACGTATTGAGCAGTGTCTCTCACACTTAGTTTCACCTTCTTTGAGGAGGAAATTATTTTTAGTGTGTCACCACAGGTAGTTTGTGAAAAATATAGCTTGAGACCATAGTCTTATGAAATTTTATACTTTAAAAAAGTGAGTTTGCCTATTTAACTGGCAAAGGATATTTGTAAGATTGTAATAGAATTGATGTCATATATAAAAATGTTTCATATAATTCTCAGCTCTGGGAGAGCATACCCACAGGCCACTTAGAGAAGCACTGTTAAAGTATAGTTCTTTTCATTACACACTAATCTGTTCAGTTTTGTTATTGGCAAGACTTTAAGAACTTTAAAGAATTAAAGGAAAATGGAAAAAATACAGACATTGAAAAATGAATGATCTGGTATAGATTCTGCTTGTGGGAAGCTGGAGTAGACATACTTCTCCCTCTTTCTCCCAGAAACCACACCAAAAAGCCTAGACACTGCATATTGTACAGTTGACTCATGGCGTCATGGAGTTAGGGGTGCCAACCACTATGTAGGCAAAATTCATGTATGCTTTTATCTCCCTCCAAACTTTACCAATCACCTACTATTGATGGGAAGCCTTATTGATACCATAAACAGGTGATTAACACATAATTTTTATATATAATATGTACTGTATGGTTATAATAAAAAGTAAGGTAGAGAAAACATAACATTACAAAAAGGTGAAAGCATGTTTACTATACATTAAGTAGAAGTGGATCATAAAGATTTTCATCATCTTTGTCTTCATATTGAGTAGGCTAAAGAGGAAAAGGAAGAGGGGGAGTTAGTCTTGTTCTCTCGGGTGACAGAGACAGAAGAAAATCTTCTATAAGAAAATCTTATAAATGGATCCACGCAGTTTAAACCCATGTTATTCAAGGGTGAGCTGTACAAGCTTATGAAGATTCTGAAAGTGGTGATAAGAATGTGGATGGACTAGGGATTTTAGAACCCAAGGAAGGGTACAGAGGTGAATTTCTTGAGTTTTCTTTTTGTCGCATCACTGTAGATGTGGAACTGAAGAAACTGACAACCTGGAAATGTCAACATGTATAGACAAAAAGAAGAGAAAAGAAGTGGAGAGTGAGGGAGAGGCAGAGAGAGAGAGAGAGAGAGAGAGAGAGAGAGAGAAGGGAGGGGAAAAGAAAAGGAAGGGAATGGAAAAGGATGGAAGAAAGGAAGGAAGGAAGAAATCCCCAACAATGGCCTGTTTTTATCCAAAGGACTCGGAAAGGGGCTGCCTGGCAACATACAAAATATTTAGACAATAGCCAGTCTACTCTAGCCAAATGCAGCAGAAAAACTGCAGCCCTATCGTTGTCCCCACTAACGCTAGTAAAGGCCGAGTGGAGAGCCTTTTGTTTGGCATTTCTGAAATAAAACACTCACTGATGGGTTTGACAGAAGGATGGAAGGGACAGAGAAAAGAGTCAGTAAACTGGAAGATGGAACATAGAAAGGACACAGTCCAAATGACAAAGAAAACCTAGCTGGAAAAAGAAAAAGGGAATAGAGACTTAAAGACCTGTGGACCTCTGACAGAGCATTTAAAGTTTGTGTCAGGGGAGTCTTGGAAGGAGAAGATAATGGTGGGTGAATGTTCAAAGAAATGAAATGGGCAGATCCGGGATCCAAGATGGCCGTTTAGGAACAGCTCAGGATTGCAGCTCCTAGTGAAAGCGCAGAGGGTGAGTGGACACCGCATTTTTATTGCCCAGGGACTAGGAAATTCCCAGGCGGTGGAGCTCCACGGGTCGCCAGCATGGCTGCTTGGGCCAGCAGGGCTATGTCGGCCAGCGCCGCTGCTTTGCCCGGCGTGGCTGCTTTGTCAGCGCCCCGGCACAGCAGTTCTTCATACAAAATACACTGGTCCGGGTGCCCTTTTGGCTGGCGATTGGAGCCACGGGAAGCCATTCATCTGTTTAAAAAGGGGACTGAACAGGGAACCAGGACAGTAGATTCCAGGGCAAAAAAAGCACCGCGAATCTCAGTGCCGCTGTTTAAGCCAGCGTAGTGAGTTGCCGCAGGGGAAAACAAACAGACCCCCGGGGCCTCTTCAACAGGCGACTAGAACACCAACTTAAAAAAAAAAAAAAAAAAAGGCTCTGAGGCAGGGAGCCAGGCGATCAGGCTCGGCTGGTCCCACCCCCACAAAAGAACAGCAATCAGAAACTCTCTGGATTGAGAGTTTCACAGCAAGCGCAGCTGAACCCGGGACAGTCCAGCTCTGTGGGGGAGGGGCGTCCGCCATTACTGAGGCAGCCCGCCACGAGGGAGGTAGTCGGCCAATGCTGAGGCAGCCCACCGTTGCCAAGGCAACCTGCCATTGCTGAGGCAGCCCGCCATTGCAAAGGCAACCTGCCACTACAGAGACAGTCCGCCATAACAGAGGTGGGCCACCATTGCTGAGGCAGTTCTAACTATACCCGTATAAACAGGACTGCAGGGAAGTTCACTCGGCAGCTGGGCAGAGCCCACAGCAGCTCAGCAAAGCCTCTACAGGCAGACAGTGACTAGGCTGCCTCCTTGCTGGGCAGAGCAGCTCTGAAGGAAAAAAAAAAGAAGGCAGCAGCATAACGGAAACTCATAAATAAAGCCCTAAATCCCTGGGACAGAGCACCTGGGAACAAAAAGCTGTTTATGAGTTCTGCTGCAGCAGACCTAAACGTACCTGCCTAGCAGCTCTGAATGGACAATGGAGCTCACAGCTCAGCATTTGAACTTCTATAAAGAACAGACCGTCTCCTCAAGCCAGCTGCCTGACCCCTGTATATCTAAAGAGCCACCTCGTAAAGGAGAGATCAGACTGACGCTTGGCGGGTATCCTTCTGGCACAAAGATAGCAGAAGAAGAAAACTGGTAACAACCCTTACTGTTCTGCAGCTGCTGCAGGTGATCTCCAGGCAAGCAGGGCCTGGAGTGAACCTCAGCAGACCTACGGCAGAGGGGCCAGACTGTCAGAAGGAAAACCAAGAAACAGAAATAACCTCATCATCAACAAACAGCATGTCCATTCAGAGACCCAATCTGAAAGCCAGCATCTACAAAGTTGACAGGTGGATAAATCCATAAACATGGGAGGAAACCAATGCAAAAAGGATGACAACACCTGAAACCAGAACACCTCTCCTCCTACAAGGGATCACAACTCCTCACCAGCAAGGGAACAAGGTTGGATGGAGAACGAGTGTGATGAAATGACAGAATCAGACTTCAGAAGGTGGGTAGTAAGAAACTTCTGTGAACTAAAGGA